ACTTTTTCAAAGTCCCACGCTATTGTTTCTTAATGCATCTGGAAGTCCCGTGTGTACAAACAGTGTGTTTCCACCAACACATATGGTTTTACCAGTATATTTCTTTCAATGACCTCATCAACAGCTGTTGGTGACGGGGCAGTTTTTAACTTATTACTGAATTCATCAGCAAGGCTTTCTATCGACAATCTCTCGAGAGGCTGATATATATAAAGTGGTTCATGCGAAGTAGTTTCAGGCAGGTCACTGGTAACAGCCTCATCAGGAGTCTCTTCTTTTTTTATCAATCTCTCACCATACTTATCGGAGGTATCACAAGTTTCTTCAACGCTGTCAGTGCAGAGGTCATCAGACGATAAATTACTTAATTTCTCCATTGCAGCACTTGGGACCTAAAACTGTAAATAGATAGCAATCAGTGATAGAAAATTGACCGATTATGGAGTTCCATGTCCCAAGTAATCAAATTTTCCAAGAACTGTTGGTTTTGTGAAAAACTACATGTATAGACCCGCCATAATGAAAATAAATCTCCCACATGCTCAAATGCATTTTATATCAAGCAGAAGTTTTATTTTTTTTTGGCTGCGGTAAATGCTTTTCTTATTTTTTTTAATTTGATGTATACCGGTATCAACGGCGTTGATTCCCAATCTCTGGTTAGCTATATATAGTACCAATTTTATGCGATTCTGATTCAGAACTAGTTCAAATTTTGAAGATTGCTTGCACAAAAAAAAATAGTTGACTGTACACCCCTAGCAATGCAGTCAATTGTGATCACCATGTAAGTGCTAATTTGCATCATTATTTACATAAATTTGCATACAGCATTCACGCCTACTGTAAAATGACTAATTTTCAATGGATTTAAATTTTGCTGATTTACCATTTCAGGCATAATCATTGGTTTTATCATTCACGGTTTTTTAATTTAGATAATGTGTTCTATGCTCAATTTTACATATTCACTGAGTTTTAATTAAGCACATTTTACAGTTGACGAAATAAGCAAAATTAAAACTCGGTAAATAATTAATCTTTTTACAGTATATATTTCCAAAAAATGCTTCATGTCACATACCTATTCATTTTTTTCAATATTTTTTTTTTTATTTAATTGAAACACGTTTACAAATAATCTCTAGAAATACCAACAAATAAATATTATAATCTGCATTCATGGAAATCAATATTTTGCACAATGCGTGGTTAGAACTTGTTGATTTATACGTTCTCAAATGCAACTGATTTATGAGCAAAGTTTCGTAAAATCACGATTTCTATCATTTTGACATGGAGTTGGACATGTTATCTGGGGGGGGGGGGCTACTTGCATAGAAGTGCTATACGGGTATGTGCAGCCAGACTGGGGTGTCATTTCATGTTATTTTGTTTAGAAGTGGAAGGTCATTTATCAATGTTTTGGTTTAGAAGTGTGTAGCATTTATTTACATTTTCACAGGTCCTTATATTCAAAGTCGGGC